ACACACACACACACACACACACACACACACACACACACACACACACACACATAAACAACCACAACAACGCCCCCTCTCCTCACCCCTCCTGCACACAAACAAACAAACAACCTCTTCTCCCCCACACACACATAACAGAATAAAACCACCAACCAACCCAAATTGGCAGCATCACCGTGGTGTGTCAATTACGCCGACTGACAAGAAACCAAAGTTTTGAGTAAAACGTTTTACGGCACTTACAACACAGTCTCTTTAGTCTAAGTAGAGGTTTTACGGCGCTCGCAACTGCATAAGGTCATATGAGCGCCAGAAGATTAAAGGTGCTACAAGAGAGTAACAAACATAAAAAAGAAGGAGGGGAGATAAGGACGGTATATTTTTTATAGGAAAGAAGAAGCAAACCACACCAGAGCACCCGCCAACCACCCACATTTACAACACAAGAAGTTCATATAACCGCCAAATATTTAAAGTTGTGACAAGAGAGTAATAATAAACACAAGAAATGGGGGAGGTGAGATCAGGACGACAGGTGTCTGATAGGAAAGAATGAGCAAACCACATCGGGGCACCAGCCAGCCACCCGCTACACAACCAAAGATCTTTCACAAACAAACAAAGTGGGTGGTTGGCGGGTGCTCTGGTGTGGTTTGCTCCATCTTTCCTATCAAACATCTGTCGTCCTTATCTCCCCTCCATATGTTTTGTGTTTGTTACTCTCTTGTAACACCTCTAACCTTCTGGCGTTCATATGACCTTATGCAGTTGCGAGCGCCGTAAAACCTCTACTAAAACTATTTTTAAAAAAACAACGATGACTACAAAACCAAAGATATTTGCTACAAAAAAAAAGAAAAAGAAAACGACTACAAAGAGCCAGCCGCTGATGAATCCCACACCATTTCTCCATTTCCACTTCCGCTGCCGCCAGACTACAACAACAATAATTCCAATAAATGAGAGAGAGAGAGAGAGAGAGAGAGAGAGAGAGAGACGGAGAGAGACAGAGAGAAAGAGAGAGATGGGGAGAGAGAGAGATAGAGAGAGAGATAGAGAGAGAGAGGGGGG